AAATCTATGCACATACAGGTACTCATTCCTCTTTGATTTGCTCGAAAAGTTAAAATTTTATAAAAAATTACATTGGCTGTTTAAAAACTCATTATAATCCCTGAAATGTGATAATTAGGTAGGTAAATTAAATTAAAAAACAAACAAAAAAGTTTATTAAATTAATATTTACTCTTACAAAATAGGTTCTTGTAAGTTAACAAGCAATTATGCAGATTACTAAGTAAATGTACTTGCTTAAAATTCACATACGAATGTGGTTTTAACATGTTAAATTAACTAACCCTTCTTATAACTCTTTCCACATGTATTCTTAGAGATGCTATTCTTTTACTTAATTGTACATCTTCTGGAGAACTTTTTTCATTCTGTGATACACTAGGTGTGGCTTTACTAAAGTGCATCCCATGTTTTCAAGTAGCTGAATATTCTGAAACCCCTATCTGCCATTATATGGGATCCAGGAACCAGTTTGTTTAAATACCCACATTTTTCTATTATTTCTTTATCACTAGTTCTTCCACAAAATGATGAATAAATTCGGTATCTTCAAAACTTTCAGGAGATTCTGCATTTTCTTCCAGAAGGGTTTTTAGGTTATGCACCTAAGAATTTATAGTAGCCTCATTTTCAATTTCCTGAAGGGGACAATTAGCAGAAATTGCTGCTACATCTTGATAATCCGGTGTATTTTTATTAAAAAGTTCACGAAAAACATCGCTAGTAGAAGGTTGATTTTCTTCTTTCCAAATTTCTAGGAACACTAATAAATATTTTTGAAGATGAATGTGAATCATTATCACATTCTGGAACAAAACACTTTTTCGTAGTCATAATATTTATAAAAAGTATAAAATTAAACACTCAAATTCCAAATAAATTCTCGATCGAGACACTATGATGACAGATACCATACACAGTGCTGCCATTTTGCCATTTTCTGAATTATTAAGTGACTTTTAAAACAATGAAACTTTAAATATGGTAAAAGTTTAAACAGAAATAATACTTTCAAAAAACATTTGATATTATATATTTAAAAGATATTTGTTTAACGATGTTTTAGAAGTCTAAAAGTAAGGAGTACACAAACGAACGTGCATCACTTCTCGTAAACCTTCTAGCCGGCAACGTTGTGCGCTAGCTCCTATTGGTCTATTCCCGGTGACGTCATACATTTTAAAAAAATTCATAACTCCGGCAAATGAAGAGATAAAAAAAAAAATAAAAAAAAATGTAGTTTTATTTTCAACTCTATTATTCATAAAAAAAATTTCAAAATTTTTGAACATGCCCCATTATCAAAATAAATAATCGATTATTTTAGATTAATCTATTATTTTTGATAAATCGATTAATTGAAAATAATACAGGTTTACAAAAAGAAAAGTCCGGACCATGGTATTCCTAGGTATTTTGGCGTCCTGAATCCGATCACAGGGTCAGAAAACCCAGATTTCAAGGTCATTTAGAGGTTAAAGTTGTGCTTTTTCGGAACCGGCTCCAGGACAATTTCTTGAGAGGTAATGGCAATAACCTAGCGTCCATTCCAATAGCCTACTACGATATTGAGTGAGAACTACTGCAATATGGACTATTTGCTCCAAAAAATCAATTACAGCAGGTACAAATGGAAAATAAGTACGGATTTGAAGGTGGTAAAAATACTTTTGGGACAACACAGTGGATCTACAAAATACCCTTGTTTTTTATGTGAATGGGACAGTCGAGCTCGTTATGAGCATTACCAAAGGAAGGTTTGGCCATCAAGGGACAATTTTGTACCAAGTGAAATTAGTGGATCCCAAAAGTATTTTAATACCTCCTCTCCATATTAAATTGGGGTTGATAAAACAATTCCTCAAGGCTCTCAAGAAAAGAAGTAGCGAAGCCTTCCAATATATCTACCAGAAATTCCCAAAGTTGTCAGACGCTAAAATCAAAGATGGGATTTATAAAAGATACAGAATTCCCGAAGAAGATGGCGGTAGATGAGGAAGCAGCATGAAAGAGCTTCCTGAATGTTTCTGAGAATTTTTTTAGAAATACTAAAGACCCAAACTATATGGAATTGGTGGAGGGCTTGCCCCAGAACTATAAAGCCATTGGATTGGTGTCCGGATTTCTATTGATAGGCCCAATAATTTAGTGAGCAGAGGTATGCCGCTGGCGCCATCTACAATTGGTCTCCAAAGTCCAAAACATGAAAATCAATGTATTCCCAACTCCCTCGAGCGGAAATTCAGTGAGAAACTAACATTTCTATTCAGTGCAAAAATTCGGGCTTTTTCGAAGGCCGTTTTTGTAAAAAATATTCGTCTTGCGAAGAAAATGGTGGGGACCATTTTTGTAGATAATGATACGATCTTTATTTTTTATCTAAACAAAAATTGTCTAATTTGTATATTTTGGCAGGTATTAGCGGGAAACCATTTTTTCGGACTTTAGGGAGCCCTTTCCGACCCAGCAGTGTTGGTAAAAGTTTTCGCCCTTGAAAGCAACCGTCAAGACCTAAGAATTGATCCACAAGGAAATCTGGACCGACTTAATGACAGCTTTGCATATTTTCAGGTATTCAGTTACTGGACTATCAGGGATTTGGGACTTCCAAAATACCTCTCTGAGGTTTTAGGATCAACGCTTAAAGAAAAAAATTACTTGCTCCAAGTACTATATTTTATTGGTATAGACATCGTGAGGCTGAATTTCTCAATTACTTTGCCGCAGCTGATTCACTTGTATATTGTCAAAATGTATCTGACTTGGTTATTCACCTAGGTGCTCCTGAATACAATCCTGCCGAGTGAGATTTTTTATAGACTCTTCAAAGAGAAGTCATAAAGCTGTTCTACTTCATAATGGCAATTTATATGCATCTGTTCCTGTTGGTCATTCTACTCACCTAAAAGAAAATTACGAAAATCTTGAGGTACTGCTTCTAAGAATAAACTACAGGACAACATAACTGGATTCTATGTGGTGACCAAGAGATGACCACTGGACCAAAAAAATCTGGCCACCAAGAAAAAATTTAACGCCTGGCTCCAAAAACGTAATTCGGGAAAGCCTAGTTGTTCCCGAGAAAATTTTATTACCGCTCCACATATAAAATTGGGGCTGATGAAACAATTTGTCAAAGCTCTAGACAAAAATGGTGGTTGCTTTAAGTACTTGTGTGAAATATTTCCGGGTCTCTCTGAAGCTAAATTCAAAGAAGGCATCTTTGTTAGGCCACAAATAAGAAGGTTGATGAAAACTAATGAAATTGTGACGGTTATACAGGAAGACGAAAAAGAAGCATGGACAGCTTTTAAACAAGTTATAAATAAGTTTCTAGGAAACTACAAAGACCCTGAATTTGAAAGCATTGTTGGACAAATTTAGAAAGTTAGGCTGTAACATGAGCTTAAAAATTATTTTTTACATGCTCATCTTGACTATTTTCCGGATAATCTTGGCGATGTCAGTGAAGAGCAAGGGGAGCGCTTTCACCAGGATATAAAAGAGATGGAACGGCGATATCAAGGGCTGGGATATCAAAATGATGGCCGACTACTGTTGGATGCTTAAAAGAGACCGTCCTACCGCAGAATAGGCACGAAAAACAACAAAAAGAAGCTTTTCCGGAAAGAGAGAAAGATTTTTCAAGAAAACAAAGGATTGTTGAATGTTATTTTTTAACTACTTCCCCGGTTTTATTGTTTGTTTTCTTGGTTTATTATTTTCTTTTTTATCCTAAGTATCTATAAATATATTTTTACTTTTTGCATTATTGTAGTATTTTGTTTAAAAACCTTACGTGATAGAAAAAAACTAAAAGCAGATTTAAAATCAGCGTCACTGAAATACCCAATTTCAGTTGAAAAGTTCAATTCACATTTTACAGAGTATTTAAACGCAGGCCTGTGTAATTTGAAACACCTTATAAAATGTTTAAAAATAATGCAAACGCCATTTTCTTAATATTTAAACAATATTAATTAATTTTAATGAGGTTTCTTAAAAGATTAGGTTTTGGCCAGAATTTTTTAATTTTGCCCCACTGTGCGTCGCGAGGTTTGCCTGCTAGTTTGTCTGCTAGCTTCAGCCTCATGTTTACTCCTTGGATTTTCTCTAATGTGACTTTTTATGTGTTATCAAACTGGTTTTCTGATTAAATTCTTTCGAACATACTGCACAATTTAACGGTTTGTCTCCAGTGTGATTTTTTAGATGTCGATTTAAATTGGATTAATTATTAAACGATCTAGAACGGTTTTTCTTCAGTGTGTATTCAAAGAGGATTTATGGTTGTGAATTTTCAAGTGCCTTCCCAAATTAGATATGTGGCTAAACTGTTTCGAACAGACATTACATTTAAATGGTTTTTCTCCGGAGTGAATTCTTAAATGTGCAATCAAATTCGATTTACTGCCAA